GCCTGCGGGGGTGCAAGGAAGGCCACTGCGGGGCCCGGCCGCTGCCTGCCCCCACCGACCCGGGCACCCCCACCCACAGCCCGGGCCCCGGGAGGACAGAGGGACAGGACCCGCAACCAGGCTCCCACAGCTGTGTCGGCCAGGAGGGCAGGGGCCAGCGTTTGGGGGTGTGGGGGAGCCTGTGGAACCACCGGGGGGCCTTCCTGGAGGCGGCGGCACTCACAATGTGCAGGGCGCTGCGCCCATCGTAGCCGGGCAGTGCCGGGTCAGCCCCAGCCTGGCACCACGCCCTCAGGCCTTCTCGGTCCGCCCTGGACGCCAGCCTGGGAAGTGGACGGAGCTGTGGGATGGCTGCGCCCCGCCCGCCCCCCCATCCGTCCCCAGCTGAGCCCGCAGGGCCTCGCAGAGTGCGGCGCAGGGGCAGGAGGCGCCGGACTCCGGTTTCAGCCACATGGGTGCCCGAGCCGGGGCGCTCAGTCTCAGGTTCTGCGACGGGTGCTCCAGGGGGGCCACCCAGTGTTGGGGGGCGGGGGCCCAGGGCGGCCCTGGGCCTGCCCCCTTCGGGAACCCGGTCCCCAGCCCTCACCTGCACAGCTCTGTCCCCGCATCCTCCAGCTCCTGGGGGGACAGGCAGGCCCCCGCTTTCCGCAGCAGGTTGATGACGCCCTGATGCCTGCCACGAGAGGGGGCGGCCACAGGCCCCAGCCCCGCTCAGGGTCCCGCCGCCCAGGCCCAGATCTCGGGGGACCCTGCCCTGCCTGGCCTGGGCACCCTCTCAGGACCTGTGGGAGCGCAGGGCAGGGGAGGGCGCCTGTGGGGGCTCAGTCAGCCCGTGGCTGAGCAGACCCCGTCCGCACCGGAGGCCTCTTGGGGCGCCGCGGCCCGTGCCGGGGACCCGAGGACGGTCCCCACGGGGCTGGCCGGCCTGGCCCCCACCGGGGCTGGGAAACTGGGTCAGTGGGTGGGGGGCAGGTAGGTGGGGCCCAAGGGTCCCTGGGGCCAGGCTGGGGGCTCGACGACGGGCGCTGTGGCCCACACGTCGGTGTGCCGCTGTTGGGGGCCACCCCACTTCAGGGGAGCCTGGGGAGGGGGAGGCCCCACGGGTCCTGCTCCCACCCCCACCCCAAGGAGCCGTGGGGGCAGGTGGCCCCTTGGTGCCACTCCCGGCTCCGCAGGCCCGGCAGGGTGTGAGGCCGGGAGACCGGTTGGGCGGGCTGCGGGTGTTGGGACACTAGGCGGGATGGGCGGGGGGGCGGGGGGGGCATCAAGCCCAAGCCTCCCACCCACGCCCCAGCGCCTCGGCCCGGCCTGGGGCACCCCGCAGGCCCTCGCCTTCCACCAGGCAGGTCTGCTCTGAGATCCGGGGCCAGGAGGGGGTGCGAGCCCCTGCCCAGCCAGGGCGGCTCCCCGGGCTCGGGCAATGTGACCCGGCCCCCACA